TAAGTGCTTATCTGATAACTCATGTATTTAAAAGTCATTGGAAAGATTTGTTTTTGCAGACCAGAAGCCCCTGAAATTTAGCTTAGTATGTGAGCCTCAAGCTAATGAGAGATTTACAATCTATCTGTCGAGTGTAAAGCATACACATCTTACTTCTGTGTATCGCTTTCTCGTGTGTTGCATGACCCGGGGTAGAGTGTTTTACAGTAAAACGCACAGATTGACATTTTACAGTTAATTAGACGGAATATTAACTGGGTGTTTATTGACAGTAACTGAAAGGTCAATGATTGATTTTTTCGTGAACTTTCAGTTATTATTTAGTCGACTGAATGGCAGCTACTCTTGAGCAGCCTTTCAGCATGTTCAGTTAGCTTGCATGAAATTGTGTGTTTTGCAAGATGATTTGTTTATCTTTAACTTAACCTGTTAATTTTATTTGTTCCTTTGTTTATTTAAGAAACAAAATCTATGTTTTCCTGAATGATGCAAGATAACCCCTGATGTCAAGAAATAATAACAAGATGAATCGGCCTAAAAATGTTGTTGAAATATAAAGGCTTCGGTTATTTGTCGACCTTGGAGGTATTCTGCAACATTCATGAAAACGTGGACTTGCATACTTTGTTGATCTCATCGCAAAATGACCGTTCACGGTAGCTCAGTCGGTAGAGCGCTCGCTCCGTGATCGAGAGGTTGTGAGTTTGTAAGTCGGTCGCGACTGACCTAGTCATTAAAAATGGGTAGCAACTGTTCCTTCGCCATGCGCTCGACACTTTGAAGAGAAAGTTGCGGGTCCTTTGGATGACACCTTAAAATCCGAGGCCCCGTCTCAGCGGCAGGCATTGGCACGATAAAGATCCCTCACTGCTCAATGGCCCTGAGTGCCGAGTAAAGGTCAAAATTAGAAGCCCTTCATCGCGGCACGTTGACGTCTCCATATGAGTGAAAAACTCTCGAGAGGGACGTTAAAACAATAAACAGTCTATACAATAATCGCAAAATGTGATAATCCCAGTTTAATATAACAATTTGCGTTGTAACAGGCTAAGCCAGTACCAGTATTACAATACTCTCAGGTTGCTTGTCTTCTTTTTGTCATATTTCTATCTTTAGCATAACGGCGATTGTGACTGGAATTTATCGGATAATTTAAAAATACATTAATATGTAAAAGTAATAGAACAGTTTAATTAAGTATAGTGCTGTTTACAGATAGCGAGTGTACAGTCATGATAAGCCGTAAATGTAATTAATCTAATCAAGACAATGTTTCCATTGGGAAAAATATGTAGGCGAAATTGTAAAATTTAAATCTTGGATATATGGAGAATAGTTAAACTTACTCTTTATCATTAGGATTTTTTTTTACACAAAATTGTGTTTTGAATTCACATTTATGTCATTGTTGCATTACAGCAACTGACGACGATGTCTCTAAAAGACGACTGATCAGAGTTCCACTGTCTGCACTTAAGAGAAACGAACAAATTGGCGAAGAAAAATCAAAGAGTGGGATAGAAAGAAGAAGTGAAAAAAATGGAAGTTTGGAAAATTTGCAAAAGGCTATGTTGACTAAAGAAGAACAGGGAGCAAGTCCACTGACGACACAAAATCCTCCTCTCGATGTATCAAGTACCAAGGAAGATGGGGCAAATGATATACAAGTGACGGGAGATGACATGGGAAAAACAGTTGCCAGGGAAAATGAAGCAAATGATCTTCAAGTGTCGAGAGGTAAAATGAGAAAAAGATTAGGTGCCAGAAAAAAAGGAGAAAATGATCAGCAACAGACGCATGATGAAATGAGAGATACATTGGCTGTCGGGAAAAGGGAGAAAATGATCAACAACAGACACATGATGAAACAAGAGATACATTTGCTGCTGGGAAAAAGGGAGAAAATGATCAACCACAGACACATGATGAAACGAGAGAAACAATTGGTGTCAGGGAAAAGGGAGAAAATGATCAACAACAGACGCATAATGAAAGGAGAGAAAAATTGGGTGCCAGGGAAAGGGAGAAAATGATCAACAACAGACGCATAATGAAACGAGAGAAAAATTGGGTGCCAGGGAAAACGTGGAAAATAATCTACAACTGACACAGGATGATATGCGAGAAATATTAGCTGCCAGGGAAAATGAAACTAGTGTCAGTATGATTGATTTTGCAGGTCAATTTGCTTATTATGCATGTCATCAGATCTACATGAGGTCTGAAACATTCTACATTCTGGTGTTGGACATGAGTAAAGCCTTTGATGATATGATTGATAGTGAACTAGATGACCGTGAGGGCTCTGTCTTTTCAACATGGTCTTGCAAAGGTATGCTAATTCTCATTTAACAATAATGCTTCTTAGTTTACAAGACTGACAGTGATGCTTCTTAATTTCAACAGTAAACATCTATTCTGAGTATTAAAATTATTTTCAAAATAATCCAATGGATAAAATAACTTTTCACAGTTATACGTGATTATTATTAACCAATTTTCTCTTAAATATTAAATAATATTGCATATCAGCACAATTAAGGTGGGATTCTGAAATGTTTGCCAAAAGTCAGATTTAAAGTTGCAGGTTTGTATTCTTGGTGTTTTACGAAAAATTAAATATTATACTGCTGCCTTTCACAGCTCTTTTAGGATTAAAAAACATGTGTCGTGGCAGGTGGACGGTAAGAGAGACAGACAACTGAAAACAAATCCATACATGCCAACTTTTGAAAATATCCATGGGGGATTTAGCGCGTGACGACAATTTTCAAAGCTCTAAATTCGCGACATTTTGTCGTGAAATTAAATAATTATATATATGAAATGATTTTTTTTTTAAAGAGCCATAGCGCATTTGATAGTCACTTTCGCCTACACTAGTAGTGATATTTTAAATACGTTGTTTAACCAAAATTATGTCATACAATGTTAGTTTATACATGCCTTAAAGCAACTCACCGAAAAATAATACTCAATTATTAATATTTTCCTCTTGTGATAGTTATAAAAATCGTTCAGTTTATATGGAGAATATAGTAAATACTGAGGTACCCAACTAAACAATGACAAACTCTAGGAAAAGACCACCCTTAACCAGAAAAACAACTTCTGAATAATTTTATTTGGATATGACTGAACTTCATTACGTTTAGACTATTTTGGTTAAAGGTGGTCTTCATTTTGAAAATGTTAAAAATACGTATTTAATTTTTCTTCTAAAATTATTTCAAAATTCAACAATCTGTCTTAATTTTGGCACTTGGATAACCAAGACTTCGTGGCATAGTGGTATGATTGCTGGAATGAAGACATAATGTTCACGAGTTCGAGTCTCTCAATGCGTGTCATTACTTAATAACTTTTTTTTTTCTCTGTGTGGATTTTCCTGTGTTTTCTTTTATTATTTTAAAATACATACATGTATAAATAATTTTTAAAAGAGATATATAATATACAACACTACACATTGAAAGTATCTTAAGGGAAAACAGTCTCAAACTATTTTAATGAACCAAAGTCATAGCTGATAGACTGTTTTATTTTTAAAATTTTCAAACAATCTTGTTTAGAATAAGAGTATTGAACAGGTAAAATTACTGTCATGCAACAAACTTGCAACAATGAAAATATAACACTGGTTCACAAATGATTAGATACATGTGGATTGATTTTGATTTGAAAAGGTACACGTATCCTATAAATAGTAACAGGTGATTTCCTTTTAAATACTTGTGTAGGCCGAGTCGTCGGGAAGGCAGCTATGGCTCTTTATAATATTGATATCACTTATCAATAAAACTCAAGGGTTAATTTAACACAAAATGAAAAAGTGTTTTTCTTTCCAAAATTGAAATATTTTTGCTAAAATAGGTGCCTCTCTCACTAAAGAAGGGGCATTTAGCTACATATATATAAACAACTTATTTTTCTACCAGCTAGGACAGAATTTAGTGAAAAATTGAATTTGTAAAACTTTAAAATCATTTTTTTTCAAAGGCTAAAAATATATTGATACTGTAAACTTGTGTAATGTCCTGTTTCTAGAAACATTTTTAAGGTCTTCCGTTTCAGACGGAAGACCTTATAGTGATTCTACTGTTTCTTTTTATTATTATTTTTTTCCCCTTTTGTAATTTCTTATTTTGACGATTTCTCAGAGATGACTGGACAGATTCTCATGAAATTTTCAGGGATGATAGAAAATAAAAATATCTTTCAAATGTAGTTTTCAGTTTTTCAAAATCTACTTCCGGTCGTCAGTTATGTCCGATTTTCGCTTTTTTCAAAAAAGTTTTGTCCGAGTCATATCTCAGAAACGGTAAGTGATGAAGACACCAAACTTATATGAGTAATAGATCTTGATAAGTAGACAAAACCAATTGGGTTAACATCGTCCGTCGTCACTTCCGGTCGTCACAGGAAGCGATCAAAGAAATCGAAAATTAAAACTTTTTATTTTTTAAAAATTTTTTGCATTGCGTTATAACATTTTGTTTGTAGTTTCAAAATATATCAGTCCCACCGGAAACAAAAACGACAACTTCCGGTTATAAGAGAAAAACTGCATATTTTCAGTATTTTTCTCTCCCATAAATATTTTATATGCGTAATGTATTTGAAATGATTTTTGAATATGTTATTAAGACTGTAAATGTCTACAGTAACGTCAAATATCTTTGTAAAATTCACTTCCGGTCGTGTGATTTCCGGTCCTCAAAATGAGAACTTATCATAGCTAGATCTCGTAAACGGTAAAAGATAAAGACACCAAACCTATCTAGAGTGATAGATCTTGATAAGTAAGCAAAATCAGTCGTGATAAGATCGTCCGCCGTCACTTCCGGTTGTCACAGGAAGTGATCCAAAAAATCGAAATTTTTAACTTTTCTTTTATGAAACTGTTTTAGCCTCACAGTATAGCATTTTATTTGTTGTTTTCAATTATTTCAGTACCACTAGAAACAAAAAGAGACAACTTCCGGTTAAAAGGGAAACTACATAATTTCAGTATTTTTCTTTCCAATAAATATCATTTATTTATAAAGTATTTGTAATGATTTTTGGATATGCTTTTTAGACTGCGTCAAGAAATTTTTGTAAAACTCACTTCCGGTCGCGTGATTTCCTGTCCTCAAAATGAGATGTTATCATAGCTAGATCTCGTAAACGTTGAGAGATTAAGACACCAAAATTAATAAAGTGGTTAATCTTGATGATTTGGCAAAAACAATTAAGATAAAATTGTCTGCCGTCACTTCTGGTCATCACAGGAAAAGATCAAAGAAATCATGAATTTTAACTTTTCTTTTAGGAATACTTCTTGGTATTACACTATTGCATCTTAATTGTTGTTCCAATATATGTCCGTCCCAAAAGAAAAAAAAACAGCAACTTCCGGTTATGAGTTATTTATTGAGTATCATACTATCCCATAAATATATTTTAAAGAATGAGTACTATGAAACTACTTCCTTCAACCTTAAAATGATAAGTTTACAAAATACCTTTTTTGTTGTCGAACTCGATGGTTCAGTGGTTAGCGTGTCCGACTTTCATTCTAATGGTTTTGGGATCGAGCCTAGATCGAGGATTCTTCTTTTGTTTCTTTTTTTGCATTTTGTCCTTTATTTATTTTTTTTAAATAGAAAAGTATCCTTCTTACAGATAAATAGAGAAGAACGGAAGACCTTATTTGTTGCTGTAGCAACAAGAGTATCTAGTTTTTATTTATATTTCAATTAATTAGAAATTCTAATATGATATTCAATTTACAGAAATTTATACCAGCTATCCAAAACAGAATTATTAGGGTCCCGCTTTGCAGGCGCCCTATAGTGATCAGTCTCTCCGTCCGTCCGTCCGAGATCTCTTGTCCGGGGCATATCTTCTTTCTCCTTGGCCAAATCTGGCTCATACTTCACCCACAGAGTGCGTTTGGGTAACCCATGTGCAGTGACCTTAAACCAGGTTTCTAGGTCAAAGGTCAAGGTCATAGCTGAATTATATGAAAAATCCTTGTCCGGAGCATATCTTCTCTCTCCTTGGCCCAATCTGGATCATAATTCACCCGCAGAGTGCCTATGGGTAACCGGTGTGCAGTGAACTTGAACCAGGTTTCTAGGTCAAAGGTCAAGGTCATAGCTGAATTATATGAAAAATCCTTGTCTGGAGCATATCTTCTCTCTCCTTGGCCAAATCTGGCTCACACTTCACCCACAGAGTGCATTTGGGTAACTGGTGTGCAGTGACCTTGAATCAGGTTTTTAGGTCAAAGGTCAAGGTCATAGATGAATTATATGAAAAATCCTTGTTCGAAGCATATCTTCTCTCTCCTTGGCCCAATCTGGCCCAAACTTCACCCACAGAGTGCCTTAGGGTACTAGGTGTGCAGTGACCTTGAACCAGTTTTCTAGGTCAAAGGTCAAGGTCATAGCTGAAATATATGAAAAATCCTTGTCCGGAGCATATCTTCTCTCTCCTTGGCCCAAACGTCCTCATACTTCACCCACAGAGTGCCTTTGGGTAACCAGTGTGCAGTGAACTTGAACCAGGTTTCTAGGTCAAAGGTCAAGGTCATAGCAGAATTATATGAAAAATCTTAGTTCGGAGTATATCTTCTCTCTTGTTGGCCCAATCTGGCTATTACTTCACTAATAGAGATCCACTGGTCAATGGATGTGCAGTGACCTTGGTCAAAGTTTCTAGGTCATGGACAGAAATACCCTTTCTGTTTAAAATCTTTGTTTGGTGCATAATTTTTTGCCTTTTAATTCCAGTAAATTTATATAACTCGGGATACAGGAAAACTAAGATAAATATAAGTAAATTTGCAGTATCCATCAAGTCGTACTAAATCACTTTTACTGTATAACACAAATGTTCCTCTTCAAAACAATCCCTTTTAAATAACCTTACATTTAAATGTTCATTGTTGAATGCGGGGCCCTTTGAGATGGCCACCATCTCAATGATATCTAGTTATTTTTTGTTACAGTCATGAAATTTGTCAGGCTTGATGGTGCCATGTGTGTATTTATACCCGCACTTTCGAAAGAAAGTTCGGGTATATTGTTGTTACTCATGTCCGTCCGTCCGTCCGTCCGTCTGTCACACTTTTCTTCCCTGAACTCCTCCTACATTTTTCACAGTAGCTTAATCATCCTTTGGGAGATGGTTGGGGGTGTCATGTAGATGTGCAGTAAGGTTTCGGAATTTTGATTTTGCCCCGGGGGATCAAATGGGGGTAGAAAAATGACGTTTTTTATACAAAAAGCCCCTTCTTCCCTGAACTCCTCTTACATTTTACTCAGCAGCCTAATCATCCTTTGA